ACATATTTCCATGCAAAAAAATGGTACCTCTTTCAGCACAAAAAAAATCGGAAAGAATCATACCGCCAAGGAGGTTAAAAAGCTTCTCTGGAGTTAGAAAGGTTTTCTGACAGGTGGAATCCAGTATATAGCCCAGATATATCATCCTCTGGGCTGGAATCAAACTGGACTTGGCCAGGTTTAACAGCCAGCCCAAACTCTCCAAATGCTTCTTCACCACGGCTATGTCTCGTGACAATTGCTCCTCCGAGCTTGCGAACAAAAGATAGTCTAGGTAGGCCACAATTGAAATTCCCTTCACACAAAGTGCAACCAGCACCTCACACATAAACTTTGTGAAGATCCTTGGAGAGGAGGAGAGTCCAAAAGGCAAGGCTTGAAACTGCAGGCGACGCGTTCCCCCCCGGACACTGAACTGCTAGCCTGAGAAACTTCTGGCACGTTTCCGCGATGTGTACGTGCAGATAAGCATTCTTTAAATCTATCGAGGCTAAGAACGAACCTGGCGAAAGCAGGGATCGGACTGTAAAAATTGAGTTGATTCGAAACCTCTTGTACCTGATAGTTTTGTTCAGGGGTTCAGATTTAGAATGAACCTGTAAGCTCCTGGTTTTCGGACCACAAAAACATGTGAGTAAAATCCCCCCCCCCTGCATCGGGGACTTTTATTACTACATTCTGCTCCTCTAACTCCCGTAATGAGCGACCAAAGCCGATGCCTTTTGCACACACCTGGGCAGGTTCGTTACCAATAACCTGCACGGCAGTGGCTTTGAGAACTCCAGGCAATACCCCCTTCTCACAATGCCTAATACAAAGGAGCTGGAGCTCTCTACTTCCAACTGTGGGAGGAAGACCCCCCAATCTTCCTCCCACCGGGGGGAACCAAGTCATTGCGGCTTCTGGGGCTGCTCAGGACGACAGGAAAATCGCTCCTCCTTTGCCCCTACCTCTCTGCCTCCATGGCTTTTTCTGACCTTCTGGCAATAAGGACCTGCACCCTCTTTTGGGGACGAAACTTCCTTCGCCCCTGCAGTTTTCGCTTAAGGGGAAAGGATTTTTATTGTCCGCCGTGCGATCTAGCACCGTCTCTAGCCCTGGGCCAAACAGGAGATGCCCTGTAAATGGAATGCCACATAACTTAACTTTAGAGGCAATATCTCCCTGCCACATCTTGAGCCAGAGGGCTCTACGGGCTGAATTAGTAAGGGCCGCTGACCTAGCCGACATCCTCACTGACTCCACAATGTAGCCTACCCCCTGTAGTAACGTCTGAAAAGACGCCAGGATCCTATCCTTAAGAGGATCAGCCACAATATGCGCCTGCAACTGCGTGAGCCAGTATTCCAGGTTTCTGGCCACTACCGTAGTAGCCATGTTGGGCTTTAAATTGGACAAAGTAGAGTCCCAGGTCTTTTTAAGGAGGGAATCTGACCTCCTGTCCATAATGTCCGGTAGAACCCCCATATGCTCAAAAGGCAAGTCCATCCTCCTAGCTATTTTGGAAAACGCAGCATCCAACCTGGGATTTTTATTCCACAAAGCGGACGGGTCTTCATCAAAACGGGAATCTGCATTTAAAAGGGATCTAGGGAAGAAAGGCTTCCTTTCAGGATCCTGCCACTCCTTTTTAATCATATCAACTAATACCTCGTGGAACAGGAAAAACCCTACGTTTTTGCTCTTCCATGCCCTGATACATCTGGTCGTGCAACGATAGGTGTGTTTTATCCTCTTTAATGTCCAGAGTGGCATAGATTGCCCCCAATAAGTAGTCAACCTCCTCCAGGGACAACTTGTATCTAGCGGGGCCTCTGGGTTTGTCTGAGGTGCTCTCCCCTTTGGAATCCTCCTCGGACTTGGAGCCCAGGGATGGCTCGCACTCTGCAGCCTTCTGGCCTTCCATCCCTCGACTAGTTGAAGGAAGAACCTGCTGGGGGGGGGGGGGGGGGGAATGGGGCACGGCCTGGGGTAAAGCCAAAATTCTTGACTAGTGATTTGAAGGAATCAAAAAAAAAAAAAAAGTATTGATCAGTTCTCTGATTTTAACCAGGTCCCCCTGTGATGGAATCTCCTCCCTAACTAATCCCTCAAGGGCCCACATAGCACCTTTTTCCAAGAATCTTTTAGCACCTTACATGACAGGCACTTCCACTTAGATGCATGGTGCGTGAGCTTTTCACGGACCTTACCCTGCATAAACAAGAAGAGGAGATCCAGGGAACCTATTACCCTTCTTCAGAAACTGCCTTCTCAGTCAGGTAAGGGGCTTCAACCTCTACGCCCCCCGCACAACAACCCCCCTGGAGCTAGGGGCCCACAGGTAAGAAATGGACTCCAGTGAGCAGCCTACCTGTGCCTGGCCTGGTCCCAGCGTCTCTGCTCCAGCCATGTTCAGGAGGGTGGTTGCCTTTATGCTGTGTCGCCTGCCTCTGCAGGATACAGCACCCACACCGCCATCTTCATGCGCTGCCCCTCGTGTCTTCAGGGCCGCAGCCGGAAGCCGCAACACCGGGAGAAGCCCCGCCTCTTCCGCCAGAATTGACGTCTCCCGACATCCGGACTGGCATGCATGGGACAGCGGGACTCCTCCCCAGGTCCCTCTAGACACGAGGACGCCCCGGCTCCCACAACCCTCCGGAGGGCAACGGGGCGCAGCTTCACCAGGTCAGTGGCGCACCCTCCCCTGTCCCTACAGGGGAGGCAGCCCTGCCAATGCAACGCCTTGGGGATAGCCACTGGCTCTCCGGCCTTCACCCCACTGCTGCACAGTCTCCCCCCTATACCAGGTCTTGCTGTCCCAACAACACCAGAGTGTCAGAGGCCTTATTTTGGGTGGAGGTGTTTCCTCAGGTGGGGAGGAGCCAAGGTCTCAAGGTGCTGTCCTGAAAGACGAAAGGGGGAAAAAAAAAAAAAAAACCAAACACTAGGTGACATGGGCCATAAAATCTTGCATGACTGTAGTGAATACAGTAGCTCCTTTGAAAGTGCAGAGTCAGCCATAACTGTAGAGATTGGGAAGACTCTGAAGATGAGAGACTCTAGAAGTAAAGGGAAACACAATTTGAGGTTGCAGACATCAGTCGCATGCAGTACCCGAGCCATTCATAGACTGAGAGGATACCCTTCATGTCTTGGATCAGACATATTGTAAGTGCATGGCGGTTAAGCAATGTAAAGCTCAAGGTACAGGGGGCAAAGCCTCGGGTACTAAATGAAACACAGACCTGGCAGATAAGTCAGATGGGTGGAGGTGACCAAATTCACTTTAGGGAGGAAAAAAAATGAGCTGAAGTTTGGAGTCCCATATGGCTCTTTGCAATGCAGGGGAGGCTTTGACAGGCACTTCACTGCAACAGATAGCTACAATCACATGATCAGCTCTAGCAGCAATGTTTAGTCTTTATTAACCACTTTAAAGGAGCAAGAATTTTTTAGCATTTGCAGTATTTTGTTTGCTAGAAAATTACTTCTAAAAAGCACACAGATTTTTCAAACACTTTTTTGGGAGAAAAATACACTTTTTTTTTTTTAATTAAAAACCAAGACAATACATAGCCCATTTTTTCGTAAAATATGAAAGATACAGCAAGTAAATAGACACCCAACAAGTCCTGCTTTAAAAATGACACTCACGCAATGGCAACAAACTATGGTACTTAAAAATCTCCATAGGCTACGCTTAAAATTTTTTTACATGCTACCCATTTAGTTACAGGGGAGGTCCAGCACTAGTATTGCTCTTATGAACATGGCGATACCTCACTTGTGCTGCACACATCAATAACATGTGTGCGTGACTTATGTATGCGTTTACTTCTACACACGAGCATGGAGAGAGGGGCACGTTAATTTTTTTGTGTTTTATTTCTTACACTTTTTTTTAATCTTTTATTCCTATTACAAGGAATGTAAACATCCCTTGTAATATAAATAAGGATGACAAGTCCTCTTTAAAATAAAAAGGAGATTTGGGGGTCAAAGACCCCAAATCTTATTTACCATTGTTTCAGTCCTCCAAGGCCACAGAGTTGATCAAAGATAGATCACCTCTGCGACAAGCCAGCCACACCATCAGATCATTTTTTTGGGCATGCTAGTTGAAAGGGTAGGCCCTAAAAACACCAGCAAGCAGCGTGGTGGATGATGTATGTCCCCTCCCGCTGCTACTGAAAGTGATCCAGTGGCTAACGAGCCAGTTGGTCTGCTTTCAGGAGGGGGTGGGGGACCGGGAAGTGGAGAAAAATAAATAAAAAAAAAATATATATATATATCCAGAGTTATGGCTCAAAACTGCATACCTGTTCTGGGTCAGTTATTCAAAAAAGTACTGAAGCCACTGTAACAGCACAACAACCAGTCACCTAGCATGGTCAGAAAAAGTCAGCCATAGCAGCCTCAAAAGTTCTCTCAGTACACATTTCCTGCCACTCTTCTACAGGAAGCAGTCCACACTTTGTTAAATCATCCCTGTTACTGGCATTGCAATCTGAATGGCCTAAGGCTAAAGAACAATTTTTTATTTTTTTTTTAAATATAAAGTAGGTCAGTGTGTTGTGTGGTTCCAGCACCACCTTCTCCTGTTGAAGCCCTCCAGAATTATCCGCAAATTGGACAGTGAGAAGGTTACATAAGGCTATTATTACACCCCTTCCAGTAATAAAATTCTAGAAAATTCAGATTTAAAAAAAAAAAAAAAAAAAAAAAATAAGGAGGATTTTCTTATTTGAATGTAGTTAGAGCATTTCCTTATTAAAACAAGTAGTTTAATAACTGACTTCTTGCCTTATGTTTCCCTTTAAAAATACATTAGTTTGGACTACTGTGATATAAAAGTACGTAAACTTTTTTATGGAGGCACATTGTTGTAGAATCTTGCATTCAGAATAGCTTTGTTTTCTCATCTGCCTGGGATGTGAACAGTTCAGTTTCCTTTTTGTTACTGAACACAAGGTCACTTATTACAATCAATGCCAGTTATCTGAAACTGCTATACACATTCATATCTGGATGTTTGTTAAGAAGTCTTCATCTTCACATGCAGATATTGCTGGCACTGTATCCGGGATAACACGTGGCTTATAAAGACTTTGTCCTCTTTCAATATCATAGGATGTCAACTTTCCTCCTTTCAGCATAGTGTACAGAAAATAATGGAAGTCCCTTCCATAGGTGTCACATGACACAGACCAGCCATACTTAAGCTGTGCATAGTGTCGGGTGCGAAAATGAGGGGGAGAGAATGTGACTGAGATGAAGCATCCACTGGGGGCAAGAACCCGACTAACCTGAGAAAAAAAAAAAAAAAAAAAAAAAAAAAAAAAAAAACAGAACATTTAGGTAAAACAACCATACAAAGATCAAAAATTAAGAAATAAACCACATCAAAAGTTACCAATGAGACAAAACATTAATGCAAAGCCAGTTGAATCATAACAAACACTGCCAACACTGAAACAATACAGGTGTCACAACAGTATGGTACTCTGTGGAGAAAGAAAAGCATTTGTGTCTGTCCAACTAAAAAGATGCCTCCAGGCAGCAGTTTCCATGACAACCTAAGCAGACAACACTGACTTTGTCTCCATGGAAACTTACACATCCACAGTTTTCCGAGTATTAGAAGCCCCATCCTCGCTTAATGAAAAGGTCACAGGTCATTATCACAAGTTGAAAATATATCAACACACTCAGCGATGTAAGGTTTTTAAACTGTCCTTCTAAAACCAGCGATTAGAAACTTTACAATGGCAAATACAATTAATTATTATATACCTGCATATGCTAACTGCTAGGCAGGCTGATCGGACCTCATTACATCTCACTGTAAACTTGGCAGTCATGCAAATATAGTGTATGCACATACAGAGCAGCAACGAACCACAGGCCTAAAAGCACAAATAGTACTTTGCAGAGCAACATGGATCTTATTAAAATGAAATACACGCACAATTTAAAACAATGTACACAAATGAATCTCAGCCATTTGATACTAGGCCAAAAAAAAAAAAATTACATATACAAATATATATATCTCTCTATCTCTACAAAGAGACCATCAGGTGTTCTAGTGTCAATTTTTACTTTTATAGTGCAAGGTTTACACAACTTCTATTATACAAGCAGAAGACAGAAGTGCAAGTGTCTTGCTCGTATAATAAAGATGGCATTGTGTTTTGCAGCTCCTGAGTTGGCACTCTACATATATGAGAGGGAAAGAGGGGATTATAGATATCTATACAGAAAATGAGAGAATATGTACACATTCTATAACATTACCAAGAAACCTCTTCCAGCTTCTCGACTTTCTGAAGCTGGAATTTAGAGGTTCCAGAAATTATACAGCTTTCTCCTAATTGTTTAGTGAAACAAAATACAGGCGCTCGACTCAGAAATTAGGAGGATCTTAAAAGGTTCACAATTAGGACTTCAGGGATCAATTAAGGGTTAATTATCTTCTGTTACCAGTTTATGGAAGAGGACTTGGAATATCAATAATGCAGGAACAGGCACAAAACTGCCTATTAGGAAAAGAGAACAGAATAGGGTCATGCTCTGCACACTGGACACTACTGCACTAGCCAATCTAAAATTACATAGGGCAAATCTAAAATACTAAAGGAAAAGAATGAAAATCAAAATTATGGCGAGTTACAGCAAACCGGTTACAATACTTACCACTGACTGGTCTTCAGACTGCATGAAGAATAACGTAAACATTTTAAAATCAAGAGTTTTACAACATACTGACCAACAAAACAAACAGGAGTATGAAAACTGAGGGATGATCTTTAAAATGTAAAATTTTTGTAAGGTATAAAAACATCAATAGAGAAAAAAAAAAAAAAAAAAAAAAAAAAAAAAAACACAGGATGGTGCTCTATGTGTTTTTCAAACAAACAGCACCACCTAGTGCACAAAACAAGAATGAAGACAAAAAAAAGGCAACAATCAAAAAAGTAAGGGTTGAGTTCATTATTATTATTATACAGTATTTATAAAGCGCCAATAGTTCACTCAGCGCTGTACATTACAAAGGGGGACAGAACATGTGACAGAACAATACCAATACAATGCAAAACATGAGGGGATCGAGGGCCCTGCTCTTTCGAGCTTACAATCTAGAAGGGATGGGATAGTGGTACAGGAGGAGATAGCTGTGGGGGATGGAGTGGTAGGAAGAGTGGAGGAGGTCAGCAAGTTAGCAGGGGGTGAGGTAGGCTTCCCTGAAGAGATGGGTTTTCAGGGTGCGCCTAAAGGAGAGGAGAGTAGGTGATAATCTGATGGGTTGGGGAAGGGAGTTCCAGAGGATGGGTGACACCCTGGAGAAGTCCTGGAGGCGGGCATGGGAGGAGGAGACAAGGGAACTAGAGAGAAGGAGGTCTTGTGAGGAGCGGAGTATGCGTGCTGGGCGGTACTTGGATATTAGGTCAGTGATGTAGTTCGGGGCAGTATGGTGGACAGCTTTGTACGTCAGTGTTAGGATTTTAAATTTGATCCGTTGCGCAATCGGAAGCCAGTGGAGGGATTGGCAGAGGGGGGTGGCGGAAATGGAGCGGTTGGAAAGGTGAATGAGTCTGGCAGCCGTTTCAGGATCGACTGAAGCGGGGATAGCCAGCGGCGAGGCAGGCCAGTGAGGAGGGAGTTGCAGTAGTCGAGTCGCGATATGATGAGGGAGTGGATGAGCTGTTTAGTGGTTTCTGGGGTTAGGAACGTGCGGATTTTGGCGATGTTGCGGAGGTGGAGTCTGCACGAGTTTGTTAAAGATTGGACTTGGGGCTGGAAGGATAGGTTGGAGTCCAGAATGACACCAAGTACTCTGGCCTGCAGAGCGGGTTTGATATTGGTGTTGTTGGATGTGATGTAGAAGTCAATGGGGGGTGGGGTTTGGGCTGGGGGGAAGACAAGGAGCTCGGTTTTGGAGAGATTCAGTTTAAGGAAGTGGAGCGACATCCAATCCGATATGTCGCTCAGTAGGTGTGTGATTTGGGCAGAGACCGAGGGGGTGAGGTGGGGGGTTGAGAGATAGATTTGTGTGTCGTCGGCATAGAGGTGGTAGTTGAAGCCGTGAGAGTGTACGAGTTGGCCAAGGGAGGAGGTGTAGATGGAGAAGAGAAGGGGCCCAAGGACAGAGCCTTGAGGGACCCCAACAGAGAGGGGGAGTGAGGGGGAGGTGGTAGCATTATAGGTAACGCTGAAAGAGCGTTGTGACAGGTAGGATGAGAGCCAGGAGAGAGCAGAATCTCTGAGGCCGGGGGAGTGTAGTATTTTGAGGAGGAGGGGGTGGTCGACTGTGTCGAAGGCCGCAGAGAGGTCAAGGAGTAGGAGCACTGAATAGTGGCCATTAGCTTTGGCGGTTAGAAGATCGTTGGAGAGTTTGAGTAAGGCGGTTTCGGTGGAGCGTAGGGGGCGGAAGCCAGACTGTAGAGGATCGAGGAGGTTGTTGTCGTTGAGGTGAGAGCATAAGGCGGGTGTAGACGAGGCGCTCGAGGAGTTTAGATGTAAGTGGGAGCAGGGAAATGGGTCTGAGGTTGTTCGGGTCATTGGGGTCCAGGGAGGGCTTTTTAAGTATGGGGGTGATGTGTGCATGTTTCAGAGGGGAGGGGAAAGTGCCGGAGGAGAGGGAGAGATTAAAGATGTGGGTGAGGGAGCGTAGGATGGAGGGGGAGGGAGGTCGTAGGAATTGTGAGGGGATAGGGTCGAGGGGGCAGGTGGTGAGGCGGGCATCAGAGAGGATCTTGGAGACTTCCTCGATGGTAGTAAGGTCAAAGGTGTGGAGTGTTGGGGGAGCTTCAGTATGAGGAATGTAGGGTGGGGTGGAAGAGGAGGTCAGAGCAGTGGTGGGGCCGTGGGAGAGGGGTGATGAGGGGGTAGCTGAGTGAGGGGGAATGGGGTTGGAGGGAGTTTGAGCAGTGACGAAGTCCCTGCGGGTAATGTCGAGGGGGAGGGGGGATGAGGGGGTAGCTGTGTGAGAGGGGACGGGTTGAGAGGGCGTGTGAGTTGCGGCAATGTCCTTGCGAATTGTGTCAATCTTGTTTTTGAAGTGATTGGCAATCTCAAGGGCGGCGAGTGAGGTGCTGGGTGGAGGTGGGGGTGGAGAGAGTAGAGAGTTGAAGGTAGAGAAGAGTCGGCGAGGATTGGAGGAGAGGGTCTTGATGAGGGTCAGGAAGTAGGCTTGTTTGGCTGCGTGGAGGGAGGAGGTGTAGGTGCGGAAGGCAGATTTGTAGCAGGTGAAAGCTTGTTGGGATTTTGTTTTGCGCCATAGTCGCTCCAGGGCACGACTGCGTCATTTGAGGGTTTTGGTGTGATCAGTCTGCCAGGGCTGGAGCGGTCGGGGTCTGATGTTGCGTGTGGTTAAAGGCGCTAGTGAGTCAAGGGCTGCTGACAGCGCGTTGTTGTAGGCAGTCATAGCCAAGTCGGGGCAGGACAGGGGAGGATGCGGTCGTGGAGTTGATCAGCTGCAGAGTGGAGGGGGGCAGGGTTAAGGTTGCGGAGGTTACGGCTGGTAGTAGTGTGACATTTGGAGGGGTAGGCGTTGGAGGACGAGGAGATAGAGAAGGTGATCAGGTTGTGGTCAGAGAGAGGGAAGGGGGTGTTAGTGAGGTTGTGGGGAGCGCAGCGGTTGGAGAAGACAAGATCAAGGATATTACCGTCGGAGTGAGTGGTGGATTGTATGCACTGTGCAAGTGCAAAGGAGGAGGTTAAGTGGAGGAGACGGGCTGTGTCCGGGTTGTCAAGGTTGACAGGGATGTTGAAATCCCCAAGAATGATGGTGGGTAGCTCAGAGGAGAGGAAGAAGGGTAGCCAGGAGGAGAAGTCTTCCAGGAAGCGGGGTATGGATCCAGGAGGCCGGTATATCAGTTCATTAAAAAAGAACTTTTTTTTTTTTTTTTTTAAATATAGCTAGTACAATCATATCTTTCATGGTAATGATTTCCTAATCTGCATAAGGACACGGAGAGAGAGTCATCAGGATGAAGGCTCTTATTGCTCTACAGTATTATACAATGCTATAGTTGAAGCCCTGGTTCACACCGAATGCGGCTTTGAAATTGTGCTACTTCAGCTGATGCAGGATTTCAAAGGCACGATTTCATGTGTGGCTTGCTGATATCTGTGCGACTTCATGCAGAGATGTCAATGCAAGTCAGACAGGAAATCACCAAAAAAAAAAAAAAAAAAATACAGGAACCCTTTTCAAAATCTGTGCAAGTCAGAGTCGTGCCGATTTGAATGGTTCCTTGGGCACAAACAGGGCATGACTTGTAATGCGATTTTGAACGGTCAATGGTGTAAATGGGGGCTAACACTGGGAGCTTGGTTTCTGGAGGAGAAAAACAGAGTGATGAAAACAGCAGGGTTATGCTTCTTCTCTGATACAACTTTATAACAATCCTAGAACATTAAAACAATGTTAGAATACTAGTAAGTGGACCGCAGCATTTAACAGATAAACATTAAACAGATTTGGAAACACACACACACTCTTCTAGCATCTCCATGTTTTTCACACTGACACAGGCAGTCAGTGATTAAAATGTAACTACATACAGCAAAACTTTCAAATATATTAAGACAAGATGGGCACATATGGGACATTATTCTAGCAGGGTAGAGATCACTTACTCTGCAAGTTAGCAGCCATCTCTGGTTAAATGGAGACAAACAGATCACTACAGCCTTGCCAAACAGAAGGGGGGGGGGGGGGGGGGGGTCTGAGCAAACGTCTCACTTTATCCCATTTCCAACAACTAGGAATCAGATTTGGTCAGTACAACCCTTTGAATAGTTCAGCATTTTTGAGGCATCTAGTGTGTCCCCAATCTTGAGGTTCAAATTCATGGCTGCGGTTTGTATAAAAAGTGATGTGGGCTGCTATAGGGCCTCCCTATCAATTTTACTGTATTTGCAGGTATCCCCTACCCCACATCCGTTTCGATCTCCTTTGTGCAGCTCTAACCAAAAACACTCAGCTCTGAGCATCTCTGGCTATCACACAGCAGAGGTAGACCCTTGTGTCCCTGTAGAAAATCTGACAACTACACATTGCGATCACACAGGGTGCTTGTTAGCTTCCTTGTGATATCAATGAAGACAGAAAAACAACCCCCCCTCCCCAAAAAAACAAACACATTAACCGCTTCCTGTCCACCCTATAGCAGAAATACTGCTACAGGTGCACAAAATCACATACACACGTGATTTCACAGTTACAAGTAGGGCCACAATTTGCGGCCTTAGCTGTCAATCACCAGGTCCAGGCTGATGATTACTCGCTGGCACCCGATGCTCGCTGAGTATTACTGACAGGGGATAGAACTGTATGTAAACAATACAGTTCTCTCCCGTCAACTCCTGCACACTGCTTTGTGCCATACAAAGCAGTGTGCTTACTACCGTTGAAAGCGCACACAGCACATAATGTGAAACACAGTTAACCCTTTGATCATCCCAAATTTGTACAAAACTGCCACCGTTTGATTTTACAAGGTCTCTGTGTCCAGAAAAAAAAAAATATAATGTTCTGGGGGTTTAAGTTTGTTTTTAGCCAAAATTGCTGATTTTAACATATGTGAAAAATGAGGGGAAAAAAAAAATTTGCTACACAGTGAAGTGGTTAAGAAAAGATCACTTTAAAATTTACCTCACTCAGCACTTCATCTACCAAGTTAACAGTTGCTGGGGTAACATTCCACGGGTCTTTCTCATCCACCATCATTGAATCTAAAGTTCCTTTCTCAATAACCAGGTCAAAGCTTTCATCAGAAAACTGAAGCTGTCGAGCATCCATCACCTTCCAGCTCATTTCAGGAGTGCCAGCATTTCTTTCTGTCATTTCCTTTATACAAATTGGAGAGTAATCAATGCTGATAATGGGGCTCACACCTTCTGCATACAGATCAGCGCTCAGTGAACTGGTTCCACATCCTGTGAAAATGAAATGAATTATACATGGAACAAAATATAATGAAAAAACATTTGTTTTTTGAAAGGATATAAAAGTTCATCCAAAAACCACACACACACACACACACACACACACACACACACACACACACACTTTTTGCAGGAAAAAAAACCCCACCAAAAAAAAAAAACCAAACTGCATTTACCATTTTGTTTTGGGAGCCTGTAAAGCATTGCACTACCAATCAGCAGATCGCTGGTGCCATGCAGGACTCCGGCAGACATGTCACTGTGTGCTCGTACCTCATATGGATTTACTCTGACAGTAAGAATCAATGAACTACCACAGCACTCCAGTGTCGTGGTAGTTCATTGAGAACTACAAGCAGACAGCCACAAAGGCAGAGGCCCGCACGGACACTTTTTTTTTTTTTTTTAACTTGTGACAGCTGGTGGGGAGAAAGATCCCCTGCTACAGTGGATATAGAAAGCCTGAAATGAAGAGACACGGTTTGTGTATATAAATAAAATTCAAAAACAGAACCACCAAGTTGGGGGGGGGGGGGGGGGGGGGGGGGAAGGGAAATCACCCCTTGTGTCAGTATTTTGTTGAATCACCTTTTGCTTTAATTACAGCCTTTAATCTTTTAGGATGTCTCTACTAACTTTGCACATCTAGACTTTGCAATATTTGCCCACTCTTTGCAGAACTGCTTAAGTTCATTTAAATTTGATGACAGTTTGTGGGCTGCAGTGTTCCAAGTCATCCCACAGATTATCAATGGGGTTTAAGTCTGGACTCAGTAGGCCTTGCAAGGACATTCACCTTTGTCTCCTTCAACCAATGTGTGCTCATTTTTGCTGTGTGCTCTGGGTTATGTTGGAAGGCAAACCACCTTCCCTATGGCAACTTTCTGGCAGAGGGCAGATTTTATTCAAGAATTTGATGGTATGCATCAGTGTACGGGATGTACAGGCAAGCAGATATACTGACAGGTCTGCAGGAGACCTGTATAGCACCAGCAATCTGTTGATCGCTGGTGCAATGATTTCTTTACAGACTCCTGCAAAAAAAACACAACGCCACCACAAAAAAAAAAAAAAAAAAAAAACAACACACACCACACGCTTTTTTACCTGCAAAAAAGTGCATTTACTATTTGTTTAGCAAAAGATGAACTTATCCTTTAACGTAAAGTTTAAGTGTTCTTTTTCTGTACAGAGAGATTGTTCCCTCTGCACAGAGCCCTGTGCGGATTGTCACAGGGCTCTGGCCTGTGATTGGACACAGCCGATCAGTAGGTCCCAGACAATGATTCATGGCCGGGACCTGCTGACCAGCTATGTCCAATCACAGTCAAGAGCACTGTGTTAACAAGCAACACAGGGCTCTGTAAAGAGGGGACAATCTCTCAGTTTCTGATCCCTGCTTTGGGATGAGAAACAAAGATTTCATTAGTAAAAGCAGCACATAATACACATTGTTAGTCACCACTTTAACCCCTTGATCGCCCTAGATGTTAACTCCTTCCCAGCCTGTGTTAGTACAGTGACAGCGTACAGTATTTGCACTGATCACTGTATTAGTGTCACAGGTTACGTCAGTGGCAGTTAGTTCCCCCAAGTGTTAGATTGTCCACCACACTATCCCAGTCCCACTATAGGTCGCTGATAACTGCCATTAGTAGTCATAAAAAGAAAAAACAAATCCAGTATATATCCCATAGTTTGTAGACACTATGGGGTTGATTTACTAAAACTGGAGCGTGCAAACTCTGGTGAATCCATAAAAAACAAACAATGAGCTTGCATGTTTTATTGCCGAAGCTTAATTGAACAAGCTGATTGGCTACCATGAAACATATAGTGTTACGCTAACTCATATATAAAGAATAGTCCATAAAAAGCTCAAATGTGATAGTGCAATCAAAATATGAACTATAAATTAGAAAATATATAAAGTGCTTGAAAGGTGAAAAATCAATACGATGTGCTCCGAACAAGTGAAGCCTTTTCAAAAAACACAGTGCTCCACCTTGACTTGGTGTTCCTCCACCTAGAGATATATAGATAGCCGCTCACCTCATACCATGGACCTATAAATTAATACAGGTCAACCAAGCATGGTAATTCCATAAATGTGCTCTAGATGGCAGCAGAGAGCCGATGACAGGCACCCCTTCAATGACAGTATACACAGGACTCTTCTCAGCTTAACTCCACATATAGAAAGAACAGAGTTATCAAGTCCTTGACAGGGGCGGACTGTCAACTCATGGGGCCCCCCGGCAATAGGGGATCATGGGGCCCATGTCCTTGCTCAAACTCAAAAAGCCTATGAAAAAGGTACCAGGGGCATCTCATGGGGCCTCCTACTGACCCTGGGCCCTCGGGCAGTGCCCGAGTTTCCAAATGGCGAGTCTGCTCCTGGTCCTCGATAAGGGTTTGAAATGTGCCCCAGCTCACTCCCCACAACCGCAACCTCCTGAACTCCTCTTCCCGTGTTCCCAACCACTCACTACCTCATCCAATTATCCTTATTTTATTGATTGGCGACCATGCACAGCTGCACCAGATTGTGAGTTCTCCAGTTTTTAGTAAATCTCCACTATTCCTTGTCTTTAGATCTCCTTATTCCTCATCCTTTGGAGTTGGGCTACATTTACACTGGTGATTAGGGCCGGTGTGAATTGTAGCAGCAGGAATCTTCTGCAACCGCTGATTTTACACTACGCTCAGAAAGAGCTGCTGTATCTTCTACCTTTATTTGTAAAGTGCTGTGCAAATGGTAGGCGCTATATAAATCCTGTATAATAATAATACTCTGACAAGCTGGCTGCTTGCTCTTTTTGGATTGTTCCTTAGCCTATACATAGGAACTATGGACCGATTGTCTTTTGGACACTATGGGGTTTATTTACTAAAGCTGGAGAGCGCAAAATCAGGTGAATGCCTGCGTAGAAACCAATCAGCTTCCAGGTTTTATTGCCAAAACTTAACTGAACATGCTGACGTTAGAAGCCAATTGGCTACCACGCACAGATTGATTGCTCCAGTTTTAGTAAATCTCCACTATTCCTTGTCTTTAGATCTCCTTATTCCTCATCTTTGGAGTTGGGCTACATTTACACTGGTGATTAGGGCCGGTGTGAACTGTACAAGCAGGAATCTTCTGATTCTTGGTGTGGCCGCTGGCCCTGTTCACTAGGACAAGTTGCTGGTAGCCCCAGCTATTTGCAGCTCTCTGCACAGCCAGCAATTACCTGTGGTAATCGCTGCTGGATGCACACAGTGTGTGGACAGCCATGAATACCAGCAGCTGCCAGCAACCCATCATTCTAGTGAACAGGGCCAGAGGCTGCACCAAGAAACAGAAGACTCCTGCTGCTACAATTCACACTGGCCCTGATCACCAGTGTGAATATAGCCACCTCCAGAGGATAAGGAATACCCTTTGAAAGGTCCAACACACATGTGCAGGAGCAGAAGGGTGGGAGTTCATGGCTCCAGAATAGAAACAAAAAATCCCAGTGCTACAATTCACAGCGGCCCTTGCTGCCAGTGTGAACGTAGTCTTAGATGCCATTCACGCTTTTAAAGATACAACAGAGCAGTTGGTTGTTGCACATTGTGTTTAGGGTAGCCCCTTTGTTGCCCTACTTGTGAAAAACACAAAAGCAGCATATGACCCTTTTTACAAATGCACAGTACTTTGTTACCATGTGTTTTGGCACACAAGTTAGCATGGTCTCTGACAGACAACTGTAAGCCTCATATACACCGCTGCTCCCAAACGTTCATTTAGGAGCTTTTAGTGTTTGCCAAAGCCCCTGAACTCAACAAAAACCAATGTGATCATGTGAACAGACATTTAGGAGCAGTTAAACATGTCTGGTAAAAATACTTTAAAGACTCAAATTTCATCATATATTTACACCAAAATGTATTCTGCTACATGTCTTCCCAATACGTGTAAATGAATTGGTTTACGTGAAAGTTATAGCATTTACAAATAGCTGCATATATACTGGGATTTTGTAACATTTATTTTTACTAGTAATGGCGGCGATCAGCGACTTATAGCAGGACTGCAGCAGGCATTCTGACACTGGGGGAAACTGAGTTGGTGTCACTGACATCCCCAGTGACACCAATACAGTGATCAGTGCTAATAAAAAGCACTGACACTGTACTAATGACACTGGGCAGAAAGGGGTTAATATGTGGGGTGATCAAAGGGTTAACTGTTCTGTATTTCTGTGTGCTTCACTGTAAGCACACTGCTTTTCATGGCTGTCCAGAGCCATGCAAAGCAATGTGCAGGAGATGACAGGGGAGAGAAGTGTTTTGTTTTCACAAACAGTTCTTTCCCCCCTCAGATGCTTGGCAATCACCGGGCGGGACCCAGTGATTGACAGCCATGGCCAGCCACAAATGGTGGTGCGAGAAATGCAAAAACACACACGATTTTGCACACCCCTGCCACCCTGTAGCAGTATTTCTGCTATAGGGCGGCGGGAAAGTGGTTAAAGTCCATCGGTACAAGTCAAATAGAAGTCACCTTTAACAGCTTCCTGAGCGCCCTATAGCAGATATACTGCTACAGGGCAATGGAAAAACAGAATGGTTGGCTGCACTAACAGCAACATGGTGGATGAAATCCTTTACATGCAAGATAAGAACATGAAAGCTCCAAGACAGGACAGAGGAGCAGTAGCAGTAGACGCGTTTCACACAAACATGTGCTCAGTCATATGACTTTGGAGTTGGGCTACATTTACACAGGTGATTAGGGCATGACGAAGCACGTGTTTGTGTGAAAAGCGTCTACTGCTCCTCTGTCCTGTCTTGGAGCTGCCATGTTCTTATATTGCATGTAAAGGATTCCAATAAAGGATTTCAACCACCACATTGCTGTTTGTGCGGCCAACCATTCTGTTTTTCCATTATATCTGTGATCATGGTCAGCCAGCACCTGCGTGTCTGGAGGGGCAGATTCAGCACTCACCTGGAGTGAATCTTTTGCTCTTTCAGTTGGTCTTGATACTGCTACAGGAGTGCGCAGTCACGTAAATATACACACATGTGATTTTGTTTGAGTAGAGGGCGCGCTTCCTATTCCTACCCACACCACCGTTCGTGGCCGTCAATCACCGGGTCCCGGCCAATGATTACTGAGCATCTCCGACAGCTCGGGCACACTGCTCTGGATGGCTGTGCACAGCACAGCTATCCAGAGCAGTGTGCTTACAGTGAAGCACACACACTGCCTCCCTATGTAAAACACAAACAGCACACAATTAACCCTTAGATCGCCCCTCATGTTAACCCCTTCCTGCCCACTGCCATTAGCACAGTGTCAGTGCTTTTTTTTTAGCCCTGATCACTGTATTAGGTGTCATTGGGGATGTCAGCGACACCAAGTCAGTTCCCTCCCCCAGTGTCAGAATGCCCACCGCAGTCCCGCTACAAGTTGCTGATCGCCACCATTTCTAGAAAAGAAAAAAAAAAAAAAACCTATAATGGGTTAATTGGTTTTTTGGCACATTTTTTTTTTTATTGGTAATTTTTTTTTCTCCCCCCCAAAATCTGCCGATTTTGCTGGCAATGATGGGCAAATCAGCCGATTGTTTTACCGATAAAAAAAATCTGCGCATGAGCCCTGACCAGCAAAAAGAAAAAAAAAAAAGAAAAAAAAGAAGAAGAATTACAGTCCGCTATTATATTTGACATGAAAAAGTATTGCGGTTGCAACAATGTATCTATTTGTATCAGAACAAAAACATCTGTATCCAAAATGGATACAAATAGATACATTGTTGCAACCGCAATACTTTTTCATGTCAAATATAATAGCGGAGCTCTCTGCAGGGACAGAAGTAATTAAATGCCGCCCGTAGACGGGAGGAAAATCAGCCGATTTTTTTTTTACCGTTGGTGGTAACATCGGCCTATTGAACGACCAATTTTTTGTTTTTTGTTTTAAAAACGGACGGTTTACGACCCGTCTATGGCCTGCATAAATGAGCATTTTCCCTCCACAAGGTTACTTTTTTCCAATTCGCAGACATAAAGGGCCAGTTCACACATGCCTGTTTTATGCATTCCAATGCATTGGAGTTTTTTTTTTTTTTTTTTTACGCGTTCCAGTTCATTTTTTCCCCCTTCTTTTCTTTAATTTAAATAAGGACATGTGCGTTTTACCATGTTCCAGTACAGTTCTGCGCAGAAAAAAATGCAGCCTGTTCTTTATTTGCTGCACCCAGAACGCACTGGAATTGTAAGCACTGATGTGACAGTGACAACCATATAACCTACTTTCTGTGCATTTTGGATGCTAAAAAACAAAAACCTGAAAAACGCATGTAGTGTGAAATGGCCCTAAGGGACAGTCCAGTCCAGATGCATGGTTTTTTTTACGTGTTCTGGGGCTTTTTTTCCCCATACATTGCACTTCATTTTTCCCCCCTCTCTTTTTCTTCGATTTAAATAGGGACACATGCATTTTTTGTGTTTCAACACGTTCCAGTACAGTTCTGTGCAAAAAAAAAAAAAATGCAGCCTGTTCTACCTTTTTTTTCTGCAACTGGAACTGCAAACACTAATGTGAACTGTTACACTGACAACCATATAACCTACTTTCTGTGCGTTTTGAATGCAGAAAAAAAAAAAAAAAAGCAACTGAAATGCTAAGGGCCAGTTCACACCACAAAAAACGCACTCTGAATGCACTGCAGATACGTTATTGCTTACAGTTCACACCACATGGAGTTCCGGTGCAGTTTGCTATGTTCCAGTGCAGAATAAATGCAGCATGCTGTACTTTTTTTTCTACACCAGAAACTGATTGGAACTGACTGTACTGTTAGCCAGATCTATTGGACTACATGAAAAACAATGTGCATGCATTTTTGATGCAGAACATTAAAAAAAAAAAAAAAAAAAAAAAACACATTGGACTGCATATAGCGTGAATAAGCCCTAAGGGCCAGATCACATTGTAGAAATGCAGTCCAGATGCATTTCCACATACACGTTTGACACATTCCAGTTTTTTCCCCCCTCTTCAGTTTAACAACTTCCAGTCCGGACACTTTTACCCCCTTCCTGTCCAGGCCAATTTTCAGCTTTCAGTGCTATCACATTTTGAATGACAATTGCACAGTCATGAAACACTGTACCCATATGAATTTAGCATTTTTTTGAGACAGATAAAGCTTTATTTTGGTGACACTGTACACTGATTGCTTTCACACCCATAAAGGCTGTAAAATCAATAATTTCTCCTCTCTAGCTGCATTCTTGCAGCCATTGAAAACTACTATGTGAGCTGCGATTGGTTACAGGTTGTCACATGGTATAAGGCTGTTGTGAATAGCCTTGTACCATGTGACCTCTGTGATCATTCACAGATTTCACACATAGTAAGCAATGATGTCAGAAGTGATATCTTGCTTACTACTCTGCATGTGATCACTGATTGACCAATCAGTGATCACATGATCGGGACCTCACACAGAGGTCCTGTCCAATGGTTGGTGTCCCACTGTGTCCGGGGGACACAGCGGGCACCGGAACGCGATGCTGTGCGCTCCCAGGGAGCGTGCACAAGTGGGGGGGGGGGAGGCAGTTTATAAACAGCCACCCACCCTGCACTGCCACCATCCAGCTGTTTATACACATGGGCCGGACGTGGTTAAATAGGGACACATGCGTTCCAGTGCATTTTTTTTTTGGTGCATTCCAGTGCAGTGAAAATGCAACCCGTTCTGCTTTTTTTTTTCTGCAACTGGACGCACTGGAACTGCAAGCACTGCTGTGAACTATGACACTGACAACCATATAACCTACTTTCTGTGTGTTTTGCATGCAGAAAAAAAGCGGCTGAAATGCACGTAGTGTGAACAGGCCCTAAGGGCTGGTACATACTATAGAAACGCAGTCCAGGTGCATTCCGGATGCATTTTTGCATGCATGTTATTGACTTTTTTTTGCATTTTCTGGTGTGTTTGTGATGCATTCCAGTTCATTTTTTTCCCCTTTTTCTTCTTAAATAGGGACATGTCGTTCCGGTGCATTTTACCATGTTTCAGTACAGTTCTGTGCAGACAAAATGCAGCAGGGTTTTTTTTCTGCATCTGGAACAAACTGGAACTGCAAGCACAGATGTGAACTAGGACATTGCCAAACATATAACCTACTTTCTGTGCGTTTTTGATGCAGAAAAAAACCCAGCTGAAAAACAAGCAGGTGTACTGGCTCAGAATGCATAAAAACACACTGGAACACATCAAAAACACACTGGAGCGTGTAAAAAAACGCACATATAGAAACATGTGGACTGCTTTTTTGTGGAAATGACGTGTCCATGCCAAGTTGGGGTACCCAGAAGATCCCCTCAGTGCAGAGCTGGTCTCCTTCCTGTGAAGTCAGTGGCACTGCCTACCACCCCTCCCCCGTAGGAGTGCACAGTATGTATACCCAGCACTAGTCCTCGCACGCCCGTCCTCAGCTGTCTCCTGACTAGGTAAGCGAAGTCCTGGTACGGCCCGAACCACTCATGTCCTCCGGCCTCTGGCTGCTCCCTCTCCCGCTCATAGCGGACATCCCAGTACCCCGACTCCTTATACATGCCGGACACGTGCAGCTTCCGCCGGCCTCCGCTATCGTCATTGGTGGGCGGGGCCGGGGTTTGTACACCGCAGTGGCCGGAGACACCTGCGCCGTGTATACACGTGGATCACCTGGAGGCACAGCCTACGTCATTGTGCGCGGGGGGAGCCCCCAGGCGCACCGCTCCGGTTTATCTCCCCCCTCCCTTGAACACAGCTTCCTGTTTCCGGCCAGGCCGGTGTCTGTGCAGATGTCTCCGGCTGTCGGCGTCCGCAGAAGAGGGGGCCCCCCCGGGGTCCGCTCCAGCCTGGTGGACTCGCTGCGGCGCTACCGGGAGAACTATAGGCTGGTCCTGACCGACCCCCGGTACACGGCTGTGCTGGGAGTGTGCCTGTGCCTTCTGGAGCTGGGGGTGACACACTGGGTCATCCAGAGGGTCCCCTGTGAGTGGCACTCCTTGTATGTGTATGTGCTGGGAGCTCAGCCCCGTCTCCATTAACCCCCTTCTCTCCCCACAGACACTGAGATAGACTGGAGAGCCTACATGGACGAGGTGGAGGGGGTGCTGAATGGGACGTACGACTACACCAAGCTGCAGGGGGAGACCGGACCCCTCGTGTGAGTAGGACCCCCATGGACATGGCCTGTGCTAAGGCTTCATTGCCATAAAGATGACACGTCATTTCTAGCAGTAATGGTCCTACGGAATGACTTGTGTATGCAGGCGCATGCGGACATCATTTGTTTTCACGATATATTCTATTTCCCATTGAGACCTAATTTCTGTCTTTCCAATCCTGTATACATTCTCATGTGCATATAAACGCATGTTCTTAGAGGTTTTTGGGTTCTGTGTTACGGATCTGAAAACCGCTCATGTTTGTGCACCTGTGAATGGCTCCATTGAAAACAAAGCCATAGTTAAAGTGTTACTAAACCCAGGACCCTGCATTCACTATCTGGTCTCCCACAGTACACACTACATGGAAATGCAATTATTTTAGTAAGTATATACTGCTAAATACCTTTTCTCATCTGAAGTTACAGCAGGCTTGTGGCTTCTATCAGTGTCCAGTCCAGCACTAGCTAAAGCTTGTAGGAGGAGTTTTCATTTTGTTCTAGGAGGATGCAAAACCCCTGACCTCTGTAAATATAAACTGATACCCTTTTCTCATCTGCAGTTTGAGCAGTCTTGTGACTTCTATCAGTGTCCAGAGTACTGGTTAAAGCTTTAAGGAGTTTTCATTTCACTCTAGGAGGATGCAGGACCTCTGGAGAGCACTGATGCTGATTACACGTTCTGTCTCTCTCTCTTTCAAAAAAAAAAACCTTTCTAGCAATACACACCAAACTGAGCATGTGCAGAGTGACTCCACACAATATATCTTAGGAGGTAAGGGGAGGATCAGAGAAGCCAGGATAAAACGGTGTTTTTACACAATGCAGAGGATTAACCCCTTAGGTTCCACAGGGAGTATAACAAGCATGCTTTACTGCATTAACAGACTGATTTTACTGTTGTTGGTTTAGTAACACTGTGACGCCCAGTCACAATGAGGAGTGTCCCACCCGGCCGTCAATCTGTTGTAGGTCAGGCGGGACACTACTCGTGACTGGGCGTCATATGACATCCTGCCAAAACAAGCCGCTCACGGGGCCACGCAGCAGCAGCGCGATTTGGCAACGACGCTGTTCACGGGACACAGCCAATGACCTATCACTACACCTGCCCATTAACAGTGTCATGTGGCTGCTGTGACCAATCACAGCAGGTCATATGTCAATTTTATACAATGGATGGCTTCCTGTCATGCCATCCATTGTATACAATTATGTTAGCTGTGACTGCTCAAAGCAGTCACATGATACAGAAAGGGCCAATCACAGCCCATC